TTACTCCAGGAGCCTGTTAGAGTTGGAACATACATTAAACATCAACAACATATGGTTCCATCATTACTCCAGGAGCTGTTAGAGTTGGAACATACATTCAACATTAAACAACATATGGTTCCATCATTACTCCTGGAGCCGTTAGAGTTGGAACATACATTAAACATCAACAACATATGGTTCCATCATTACTCCAGGAGCTGTTAGAGTTGGAACATACATTAAACATCAACCATAAGCAATTAAAGAAGAGTGAGAACTTTTTACGTTTCTTATTTATTTAAAGAATATGCAGTTTTAACTAGGACAACAGAAACAAATGAGAAGCATTATCAAAAGGTAAAAATAAGTCAAATAAAAAAAACGTTTCTGTTAAACTGACAAGTTGCCTAACCAGTAACAATAATAAAAAAAACTCTTAACTCAAAAATGTTTTTAACCAACTAATTTACTATGAATAGCTTTTAAACTAGACTCGTATCTCTAATAAGTGACCATGTTTTTAATTACTTTATAATTCTCACATAAAGCAACAATTTCTTCTTTCTTCTAAGATATCTTAAATTATACTTGTGTCAAATAAGTTACATTTTCATTAACTTAAGAAACTCACTGTTATCTACACAAAAGTACTGTACTTTAAACGTCTGAAGTGACCGTTTCTTTCAACAGTTAAACTGAAACTTTTTTCACCCTTTAAACAACTGGATTCACTCCATGAATCTGTTAACAGTTTGGGTCTCCTAACCCATTACATTACCTTTTAATTCATACATATTTGTCCTAACCCATTACATTACCTTTTAATTCATACATATTTGAGCTCACTTTTTAATTTAAACCAAGAGTACACTGATTTTATCATAAGCCTAGTTTATCTGACTAGAATTATGCAGTTTGAAACCCATTCTTAGCCTAGTTGAGCTGACTAGAAGTATGCAGTTTGAAACTCCCATTCTTAGCCTAGTTGGGCTGACTAGAAGTATGCAGTTTGAAACCCATTCTTAGCCTAGTTTATCTGACTAGAAATATGCAGTTTGAAACTCCCATTCTTAGCCTAGTTGAGCTGACTAGAAGTATGCAGTTTGAAACTCCCATTCTTAGCCTAGTTGAGCTGACTAGAAGTATGCAGTTTGAAACCCATTCTTAGCCTAGTTGAGCCAACTAGAAGTATGCAGTTTGAAACTCCCATTCTTATCCTAGTTGAGCCGACTAGAAATATGCAGTTTGAAACCTATTCTTAACCTAGTTGAGCTGATGAAAAGTACACAGCTTTAAACTCAAATTATTAGCCAGTCATAACATGGGAGTGGTTGTCCATTATGATCTAATACATTTCATATTAGAGAAGAGCAGCTTGCTTAGGAAATCACATCAAGGGTTTTACAGAATAAAAAAATTCAAGAGTTTCTATTATGAAATTGGTGAAGCTATGTATTCAAACCACAAGAGGAATACTTTAAAATTATCTCACCGTCTATACAAGTCATCCCATAGACAGTCACTGATGGAGAGGAGCACAGTTTATCATTACATGCTGTTACAGAAATAGAGTAGTTAGTGTAGCTTTTAACACCTTGCCACAAAGCTACTGAATAAGTTTCTTCAGCAGGAATAGCAATAACTTTCTCAAGGAAATTTCTGTAGTATACAAAGTAGTGTGATATAACACCATTAGTCTTAGCAGGGACTTTCCACGTCAGTTGGATGGCAGAAGAATTGACGTCCATAACCATGACTTTCCGAGGCACCGATGGGGCTGTTTTAACAAAAATTGAGAAATATTTATTCTGAATTCATCAAGCAGGTACTGTGAAGGCAATAAAATGCCTAGAAATAACTAGTAATAAATGTTTATTCAACCAGTCTCGTTTTCTTTCTTTGAAGATTTTCAATTACAATTCTGTAAACCAAGTTTAGCACAATTAATATATTGAAATTCTTTTAAAGGTATAAATTTAACATAGGTTCAGTTGAACTATTCAGCTTTTAACATCATCATCATCATCATCATATCAGTTTATTTCCACCTACAGTAATCTTTTATAAATTCTAGAAAACACTGAAATCAGAATTTTTTAAGGCAATTTTTGAATAAAAAATATCCAGTAATTCATATTAGAAGCTTCACTACTAAACTCAACACGAACAGTAATAATATTTCTTAATCAACTGAACAGTGTCTTACTTCCTGGAAAGGTTTTCTCATACTTTGGGTCACTAAAATCACTAATTCCCGCTCTGCTTATGACTTGTACTGTCACTCTATACAGGGTGAAAGGTTTTAAATTTTGTATATCTATTTTGGAAGCATCTTGATCGTCGGTTGTCACATTGAGAGGATCTGTGTGGAAAAGAATTTTCAAAATTTAAAATATCGCCTTAAGAATATAATTCTCATAACCCAAAGAAAAGTAAACTAAAAATAAAAATAAGACCGAATTACAG